GGTTTCCCGGCGGTGGGAGTTCCCCCTGGCTGCCGGGCCCGGAGGAGGGGACGTGTGGGCTGTGCCAGCGCTGCCCCTGTGCCCGGCGCTGCCGGGGGGGGGATTGGGAGGGGGGCAGCGGAGCTGGTGGATGAGGGAAGCAGCGATCCAAGGTGGTCTTCTCTTTGCAGGTGTGTGATGCCAAGCACAGCCATGAAGAAAAAGGTGAGGACTGGGGGGAGGGTCCTTTGCAGTTGGGTTTCCCTTCCCCACCCGCTGTGTTTGTATCCATCCCTCGGGATGGTCGGTGGCTCCGGCGCCTAAGAAGGCTCTGGGAGGCAGCGGCTGCAACCTCTGCTTCAAGTACCGGCATTAAAGTTGGGTTTATTCACAGGGCAGGCTCACTGCAGGGCCGTCCATGGGAACTGCTGGCCTAGTGCTTCTGAGATGTGTTGCAAAACCTTCTGCAAACCTCTGTGCTTGAGGCGCGGGGGAAGAGGATCTGCTCCAACCCAGTTCCTCGGCCTGGGAAGACCCTTCCGAGGTGTCGCAGGAACTCCTGGAGAGCCCATGATTGCCTCCGGGCTCCTGGCAGGATGAAATGTAACACGTGGGGAAGGAGCAGCACCTCTCAGAATCACAGGGGTGGGTGTACTCCAGCGGGAGTGTATCCAAAGCTGGATACTCAGTGGCTGTGCAGGGAATATTTGGCTAGTTTTCCATGGTGTGCTAGGATTGGGTTTCCTGCCCGGTGCTGCATGCTGGTGTTTGACCCTTTCGCAAGGCCTCTGCAGCCCAAAACTTGGGAATTGAGTTTGCCTGTGGGCTGTGCCTTGGAACAGGATTGAGTTTCTGCCTGTGCTTTTTGTGCTGGTGCTATGAAATAGGAGCTGTGCTCTGTGATTAGTTCAGGGGAGAAGACACCACAGCGTTCTGGGGTGACCTGCCCATCCTGTCTCTCTGAGGAGCTGTCCTGGTTGCCAAATCATGGAGGCCTGTGGTCTGCTTCCCTCTGGCCAGGGCACTCCCAGCCTGTGCTGTGCTGCAGCCATGCTCAGTGAGGACTTGAGCCAGCAGGATGGTGTGATTCTGCCTCAGTTTTGCCCCTGGGTTGTGGCAGCTTCTGCTGTGCTGTTACAGAGAAGCTGGGAGTGAAGAGAGTGTCCAGCACTGGGGCTGGGCAGGCACTCTGCCTGGCTGCCTTCTCCTCAAGCCTCTCCTTGATGGGAGACTTCCAGAGCTGGTGCCAAAGGCTGGATTTGGCTCTGTAAATGGAACTTGTTCAACAGCTGGTTTTTGTGGGCAAGTCTGTGTTGGCTGTCAATGTTGGTTGGGGCTTTTTTAGTTTTTATTTTTAGACCACAATGTGAAGTCTTGCCTTGTGTGACTGTCTCCTCTCATCCTCACTCCCCAAGCTCCAGCATCCCCTGCTTTTTGGCTACCTCTCCTCTTGCCTGATGTCTGCAGAGAGAACTCTGGAGTCAGGTTTCTCCCCAACATTGGTGCCCTTGACCTGTCTCATGAGCTGTCTCATCTGCTTTTAACCCATTTTCCTGGTCTTTTGACACCTGAAACTTGAAATGTCACTGGTATTTCACTTCTGTTGGGGAAGAGAAAACAAGTTATCTTATGAGAAGGATTATAGCAGGTTTAGATGATCTTTAAGGTCCCTTCCAACCCAAACCATCCTGTGATTAGGAGAGCAGTGCTGGGTGGGGAATACCAGTGCTGAGCAGGTGAGGGATTGCTTCCAGCCTGGTCTTAAAGGCTTGAGGCAAAGCTGCACCTCTGTCTTGGCAAAGTCCTTTGCTGTCATCAAAGCCATCAGGACTCCCCCATGGTGCCAGGGCAGCTGTGAAGGGATGGGGGAACCAGCTCCAACTCTTCCTGAGTGCTGGTGACAAGTCCTGTACCAGCGTATGTGGGAAAAGGTGTTCAGTCTGACCATGACTAAGTGACTATGGGTAGCAGGGAGGTAAGGATATCCATCTCCTGCTTCCCCAGGCATGGGACTCCTCTTTGCCTCTCTCTCCTGATGTATTCCCAGCTGAAATATGTCAGTCCTGTGTTTTGGTGGCTTTGGCAGTAAGATATCAGAGTGAGGGAGCTGTGAAAGATGTAATGTTCTGCGGTAGCTCATTCTTCCCTCTGTTTTTTCCTTCCCAGGTGCTGCTGATGGGTAAAAGTGGGTCTGGGAAGACCAGCATGAGGTCCATTATCTTTGCAAACTACATCGCCAGGGACACGCGGCGCCTGGGTGCCACAAGTAAGGCTCCTCTGGTTTGAACTGCCAGTTCTCAGGGCTCAACTCCCTCATTAAAGGGGTGAGGCCCTTCCCTGCAGCAATCCCTGCCTCTCCTCTGGAGTAGGTGTGTGCCTGCTGATCCTCCCAGCTGCCACACCTCACAGAGAGCTTCACTCCCCAGTTCAGCCAGGGGCAGGCAGGAAGCTGGAGTAAAGGGAAAGGCAGCACTGGGCTCAGATTGCCTGTTTTATTGTTCAACTGCTATCCTTAGCTCTTTACTTTTTTTTTCCTGACCAGGAAGCAGCCTTTGCTGCAGCTACACCTGTTAGTGGTGGAGCATCAGAGCCTTCTCATGCACCTCTGTGTTGTTAAAGCATTCCTGTTGTATCCAGCTGATCTCCAGTGCACCTGGAGGCACAGTGATCCTGCAGACCACCTCTGGTTTTGTCAGGATGATGCACTTGGGCCTAATTATTGCCTTTTTTTTTCTTCTTTTTGCTTCCAAAACCGCTGATATGAAAAAGCAATAAGTGATTCTTCTGAAACAGGGGGATGAATTATCTTGATCTAGTGCTCCTCACTGGGAAGCACATGTGAGGATTTAGTGTCAGAGATTGGTGTAAATTTCCTCTTTGCCATAAATTTTGCCTGTTCCTGAAGTTTACATTCTCTGTGTTACCGCATTATTTAGTTAAGGCTGGCTTAGGGCCTTGCAGAGTGTTCCGCAGCTAATGCGATTCCTAAAGTATCACAGAGATCAGGGAACATGGGGTTGGAGGGGAACCACCTGCAGCACTTCTCAGGAAAGCAGTGTCCTGGTCAGAGAGGCTTGAATTGTACAACAGTGCTGTTTAGGTGGAAATGTACAAACTAGGAGCTGTGTTGTGAAGAATGGCCCGTCCTTGGAATGTTCAAAGCCAGGCCAGATGGGGCTTGGAGCAACCTGGGCCAGTGGAAAGTGTCCCTGTCAATGGCAGGGGGTGGAATGACATGGACTTCAATGTCCCTTCCAACCCAAACCATTCCATGGCTCTCTGCTGTTTTCTATGATTTTTGGCTGCCTGAGGACTCAGCTCTGACCCAGGTATATGGTACAGTCAGTAAACTCCCGTTGTCTCTTTACAGTTGATGTGGAGCACTCCCATGTCAGATTCTTAGGAAACCTGGTGTTAAACTTGTGGGACTGCGGAGGGTAGGTACTGTTTATTTTTCTCCTTTTAAAACCTTTGGGGCTAGCTGTGGGGAGTCAGGCTGGGGAGGGAACAAAGCAGATACTCCTGCCCTAATGGAGGAGTGTGGTGGTTGTGTGCAAAGCCCTTCTCCTGGGCTTTCTCCAGAGGTGCTGGGAGGTGATGCTGGCTTCGGAATTGCTCATTACCAGCTTCATCCAAGTGGGATGTGTGCTGAGAGGCGATGCTGAATGCTCGCAGTGATCCTGTGGCTCCTGGAAGCCGCTTTTTGAGGAATGCTGTTCCACTGACGGAGCCTCAGCAGAGCCTCTTCAGCTTCCTCAGCTCCGTGGCCTCCTGGACCATCTGAGCCATATTCAGCCAAAGTTAAAGAAGGTTTAAATCCTGGAATAACAGATGAAACTGATGCTTTTGGTGATGTGGGAGGTTGTGGATGCCCTAGCCTGGCCGTGTTCAAAGCCAGGTCGGATAAAGACTTGAGCAACTTGGTCTGGTGGGAGGTGTCCCTGCCCAGGGCAGGGGGTTGGAACTAGATGATTTCTAAGGCCCATTCCAACCCCTTAACATACTGCTGCTATGGGTTTTTATAAGTGGCTCTTTAAAAGACAAACAGGGTCCAGAAGCAGCTCTGGTTGTGCAGGACACTGAGCAGCACACAGTGCCACAAGGGAAGCTTCAGCTTCCTGTGGGACTGGTGAACTGATGCTTTTCAGGAGCTTCCAGCTTTGCTTGGGAATGCTCAGAGAGCCTCATGTCATGGGGAAAACAGCCACCCATGAGACTCTTGTCTAGGCACCGTGGCAGGGTCTGGTCTGTGGCTGCAAATTTCAGCATGATTTCCTTCCTGACCATGCCAGGCAAGCCCTGGTTGTTCTGATGGGAGTATCCTTGCTTTCTTGCTCTGCTCCTTCTCAGCCAAGACACCTTCATGGAGAACTACTTCACCAGTCAGAGGGACAACATCTTCCGCAACGTGGAAGTCCTCATCTATGTGTTCGATGTGGAGAGCCGTGAGCTGGAGAAGGACATGCACTACTACCAGTCATGCCTGGAGGCCATTCTCCAGAACTCTCCTGATGCAAAGATCTTTTGTCTAGTGCACAAGATGGACTTGGTGCAGGAGGACCAGCGGGATTTGGTGAGAAGCTGAGAGTTGCCATAGAAATGCCTTCACATAGAGCATCTCTTGATTGTGCCAGTTTGGTGTCATACTTCAAAGACAGCTCTGTCAGGCTGTTCCTCGAAGGGTTTCTCAGATGTTCAGATTTGTCAGAGCCCTCTAAGCTTTTTCTACCTTTTTTGAAGTGTGTCATCATTACACCTTGCATATAATCCAGTGGAGAACAGAAGTAGTGATTTTTAGTGACAGTTGCTCCAAGCCTTTTCTTTTATAGTGCTGATTCTAGAGCTTTCAGCACACCTTGACTCCAGAAGGGAGGTAGAACTGAAGGAAATCCAGCCCCTTAAAGTCACTGCTCACCATTTGGATGGTGTGCATAGTGGTGGTGACAGGCATGGTTGTTTTAAGTTCAGCTGTTGTTTCAGTCCAGCACAGGCTCTGTTCTAAAGCATCACTAAAAACCAAGAGGAGAAACTTCCCCTCTTAACCAGAAGGTGGTTTCTGCCAGTTGTTGCTGCTCTGTTTGTCCTGCCTAACCAGAGATCCTCTTCAGCACTCAAGCATCCTGCAAAGGCTGAGGATCACCTTTCAGAGATATTTGGTGTGTTCTGTTCTGTTTGGAGCTTTGGAAAGGTCACAGAGAGATGGGAAGACATTGTTCCTACCAACCCTGTTTTTTCTGCTGGGACTGGAAAGCAGCCAACTCCTGATACCACAAGGGATTTGAACTGTGTGGGTTATATGAGCACATCCCTGGCTGCTTGGCCACTCTCTGCCTTGCAGCAAGTTAGGAGACCCCTTTAAGCTGCTGGGTTTTGTCAGAAGTGAGAAGTTTTACTAAACTTTGTATCATTCCCAGGGAGTTTTTGTCTGGGCAGCTGCAGAGGGAACATGCAGGTCCTGTGGCTGAAACCAGGCCCAACCTCCCTGCACATACAGACCTTCTTCCCCATCGCATCTTGGCCTAAGATCTCTCGTCCTGCCTCAGAGCAGTGATGGAGTTCCTCTTCCAGTTCTAGTTCTGCCCTCCAGTTCAGAGCTTGTTCAGAGGGCTCAAGGAGCTTTTTCTCACTTCCCACCAGACTAAAGGATGAGTCTGAAATCTTGATGAGGTCTTATCCAGGTTTGTGGTGGGACTAGTGGACAAGAACTGGTTTTATGTAGTGGTACAGAATCATATGAGGCCCTGAAGTGAGGGGTGGGCAGAAGAGGGACCTTTTACCACCCATCAAGAGCTGTTTTAAGGTATCTGCTGCTCAGAAGAACATGCAAATACTGGGTTAAATCACTGTTTTTGCAAATCTTGTAAATCTTCGTGAAGTCTGTGGTGTCCAGGACCCACATGTTGGCCCACACTTCATTTTGTGGGGGTCGAGTCATGTCCTGTTATGTTCCTGCATGCAGTGGGCCCAGCTGAAGGTGGTCATGGTGTGTTCCCCTGCTGAGGCGTGTTGCTGGCTGTTCTGCTGCTGTTCCAGCAGTTCCATAGGAGCTGGGCATGAGGCTGGCTGGGCCTTGCTTTCCCCTTGCTCCCCTTTTTTGTAGCCATAATTTCTGAGGGCAGAGTGAGTATGAGGAGAGAAGCCTGTGTAAGCAGCTGCCTGGGAGCTGCTTATACTGATCAACCTTGAGTGCTTTCCTCTTGTCGTGCTCTCAGTGGTGGAGCTTTTTGCCAGGGACTTGTCAAAATTTAGGTCCTCAGAGACACTCAAGCATATCCACTTGCATTCTCAGTCCACAACACCTACAGTTATTTCAGATTTGGGTCCCAGGGAGGTTGAGGCTGCCCCATCCCTGCAAGTGTTCAAGCCCAGAGTGGATGGGGCTTGGAGCAGCCTGGTACAGTGGAAGGTGTATCTGCCGTGGCAGGGGGTGGAACTGGGTGAGCTTTAAGGTCCTTTCCAACCCAAACCAGTGTGTGATTCTGTTGCGAGACAGCCTGGTCTGCTTGGCCCTGCTGCTCACTGGAAGGGTTTCTGCCAGCCTGTCCTGGCCTGCTCCTCTGCTGTGGTCCTTCTCCAGAGGTCTGTTTTTGAAACTCATCCCACAATTCCATATATCAACCACAGCAAAGACAGAAATATTTACACACTTTTCATTTCCCAGATTTTTAAGGAGCGTGAGGAAGACCTGAAGCGCCTTTCCCGGCCCTTGGAATGTGTTTGTTTTAGAACTTCCATCTGGGATGAAACACTTTACAAGGTTTGTACAACTTCTCTCAGTCTGCTTTCACAGCTCTCACTTCAAGAGCATGAGGAGGGTGAGTGGTAATTTCTGCTGGTGTTACTGACTGGCTGTTTTCAGTTCTGTAAATGGCATCAGAACATCTTGGATGTAATTAATTCATTAAAAAGAGTCAGGAATGTTTGGTAAATATCAGGTACTTGGCAAATAGGAGACCCAAATATCCACCTGGCTCCTGACGAAGCACATGGTCAGACACTGACACACTCCTGGAGCAGCAGGTGGGCAGAGAGGTGAAGCTGAGCTTGGAGAACCTGAGTGTGATGAGGACAGATGCTTATCACAGGATCCCCAGTCCCTCCTGGCCTTCTTCTTGGCTTGTTGGGATAGATTAGAGCTTTTTGTTTGGATCAGGGATGAACGTCCAAGTATCTATCTGTGTGTTACCTTCCTCAAAATTAAAATATTTCTGAAAACCTGACTAGGTTTATCTGGGAGCATTAGACAAGCATTGACAGCTTAAAAGTAGGATGAATTAAGCCTGTTCAGTAGCATTCTAGTTTCTGTATGACTGATGTGGAGAAGAACTTGACCTAGTGAAGAGTCTGCTCAGGCCTGGGCTCACACTGATAGTCTGCATTGTAGGAGAGGTAACCTGGGCATGGAGGTGGGAGAAGCTTCTCAGTCTTGCCCAGGCTGTCAACATCCAGAACTGCAAATAATTCCACTTTAAGCACATTGGGAACAAGAGGCTGAGGCAGAGAAGTGCTGATGAGCTTCATGTTGTGTCTGTATTGCTAGGCCTGGTCCAGTATAGTCTATCAGCTGATCCCCAATGTCCAGCAGCTGGAGATGAACCTGAGGAACTTTGCTCAGATCATCGAGGCAGATGAAGTGCTGCTGTTTGAGAGAGCCACATTCTTGGTGAGTTACTGCCCTGCTCTGGGTCTCTCTGGGATGGATTCCCCGGATGGAACCTCCCTTTCCCTGTGAGAGTGGTGAGACACTGGCACAGGTTGGCCAGAGAAGTTGTGGCTGCCCCATCCCTGGAAGTGTTCCAGGCCAGGTTGGATGGTGCTTGGAGCAACCTGGTCTAGTGGAAGGTGTCCCTGCCCATGGCAGGGGTGGAATGAGATGAGCTTTAAGGTCCATCCCACCCAAAGCAGTCTGGGGTTCTGTGGAAGTGCTGTTGTAAGATGCCGGCCCCAGATGCAGAACGCACTGAGCCAGGCCATGGGATACTGGAAGTAGCTGACATGACTCTGTCACTCGTGGGACCTTCACAAAATTGCCCTTTCTAGCAGTTGGGCTGCGGCTGTGATTGGTGTTTCCCTCTTCCAGACTGTAAGAGTGTTTCATATCCCCATTCTGTTGCTGGCTGTGGGACTTTGAGAATTCCTTTCTGCACAGGGCAAGAACCTTGTTTAGCTTGAAAAATAAACCTTTTAGTTCATCCTGCCATGGCATTTTATCTGGGCCTCATTTCTTTTGGTTTTTGCTGCTCTGCAAACCCAGAGTATGGATAGACGATCACAACATTGGGTTGCAGTGGCTTTCCAGGTTACTGTTCTTCCAGTCCTTCTTTGCCAGCTGAAAGGTGCTGATTGTGTGTCCATCCTCTTGGTTTCTGGGTTGGGCTCTTCAGACTTTGCACCAAAACTCTTGCTGAGCTGAAGGAATGAGCTGGAATTTCTTGAGTGTTTTCCTTGATGGTAATTTGGAAATGACAGAGGGAATGTGGGAAAGGAGCCATGACTTTTCTCCCTTTTTCAGCTATCAGAAGCAAACAGCTGCCATGTCTGGCAAGTTGTGCTTTTTGACCTTCTGTAGATAATAAATAGTTCCACCTTGGGGGTGTGTGTTAGTTAGAAGTACATTTTTTTACTGAAAAAGGCTAATCTTTGCTACAAGAGTTCTGTGTTTATTTTCAGTGTAAATGTGACTTTCTAAAAGTCTTTCTTCTACCTTTTTTCATATATTCAAACATCCCCAGGACTGTTTTCTCCTGCAGTGAAATCTTACCATGGTATCTTACTCGGCAAACTTATTTTGAAATTGTGTTCAAATTGTAGTTAAAAAAAATCTCATCTGAGGAAGGAGCTTGCACACTGTGAATGCAGCCCTTGAATCTGGCTAAACCTGTACTAAACCTGTGAATAATAGGGCAGGTTTAAAAAGTTACTGTTTTCAGGTGCTTATGGGGAAAAAAAAACCCCTAAACCTCCTTAATTTTCACAAGTTAAATGTGACTTCATAGATAGAGCAGAGTTTCACGTCCTTCTGCAAGGTGCCTGTGACACATCCTGTAGCAGCTGATTTTATGATTCTGAAGAGCTTAAAGCACATGGCTTAAGGATTTTAAAATAGTCCTGTTTGGTTTGCTATGGGAACAGAGTTGATGCAGCTGTTTTACCCTTCCCCTGGTGCAGTAAATGCAGTTCTCAGCCCATTAGTGATGTGGCTGAGGAGAGAAGGGCTGTGGGCTGTGTGGAAATGTTTGGGGAGAGATCCCACTGCAAGGATTCCAAAAACACTCCTTGGTCTTCTGAATGTATGCAGCCAGGCACTCAGGTCTGCTCATTGCTGCTGGATCTGTGTGGGAGGAAGAGGAGGAGACTGCTCTGAGTGCAGGCAGCTCAGCACAGTGCTGCTGTGAGCTGATGGAGAGAACTCCTGAGGAAACAGCTGCCTTTGAGCTGCTTTTCTTAGAGAGGAACAGCTTGTTTTGGCTTTGGGAGCGCTGCCTCTGCATCCTAGCTCTGCAGAATGGGCAATGTCTCAAGTTCAGGCCTTCAGCACCATAGACTTAGGAGGGAAAAGTAGTCCCAGCGCTTGGCAGGTGACTCTTGCCCATGCCTGAGGCATTTTTTTCCTTTCCTTGCACTTTCTTTTATTTCGAATTCAGATTTAAATTGCTGCTAAGTTGGAGTATCAGACCTCAGGTGGATAGTAGTGTCTCTTTCATATTTACGTACTTTGTGTATGTGAAAGACTCCCTGGGGATTGTGGTACTGAGTCTTATTTCTCCATGAAAACACCTCAAGAATTGTTGCAAATGGTTTCCAAGATTCAATCAGCAAAAGGCAAAAGGAATCCCTGCCCTGCTCACTGCCCATTCCCAAGAATTGCTGTAGAGGCTGAACCTGTGTTGGAATCAGTGACTGACTGTGCTCTCTCTGCGCTTCAGGTCATTTCTCACTATCAATGCAAAGAGCAGAGGGATGTCCACAGATTTGAGAAAATCAGCAACATCATTAAACAATTCAAGCTGAGTTGCAGGTGAGCTGATGTGATTATTAGGTGGGGAGATACCTCAGTTTCATGAGGCATGAGGGCTCTCCAGGGAATCCCAGTCCCATGGCTCCTCAGCAGGATGCTGGGGTAACATTGCACCCTGCTTAAACACTTGCTCAGTTAATTGCTATTTCTTTAACTTCCTCCTTTGCTGATGGTTGAAGAGGTTTGTTCTTAAACAGCTGTTGTCCTCTGGGCCTTGTTTTTCTGGACAAGGCAGGAAAGTTCCAGGACTGAACCAATGAATCAGTAACAGTGTTGTGAAATGTCAGGTGGAGAGCTCTGCTCCAGCCATGTTCTGCAGGGCTGGCTGGGGAGGAAGTGGCTTGTGGACACTATCCATACTTTGAATGGAAAAGTGGAAAGCTTGCTTTGGCATGGCTTGGCTGAACAACCTTTGGGCTCCCCAGTCTGGTTATATCTGCAACTGTGTGGAGCCTGGATAGGATGAAGTGGCTGCATGGAGCTGTCTCCAGATGTTTCAGTTTTATACTTCTTTCTCCTGGGTCATCCAGGGCATCCAGCTGTCCCTGGGAATGGCTGAGCCCCTACAGCTGTGGGACAAGAGACATTACTGCTTGTGCATAGCAGGCCTGGTCAGTGGGGCTGCGTGTCTCGAGTTACCTTCACCGTTCAATGCACCAATCAGTTGAAATTGTTCTCACTTAGCCCAAAGCTACAGAGGTTTGTCTTTACAAAAACCAAGCCCATAAAAGCAGCCCTGCTGTAGTCACACCAGCTATTCCTTGCCAAGTGGGAGCTTTGTCCCAACAGCTCAAGTAAGGGATGTTGGCTGTGTAGCGCAAAAGCTGTTTGGGCAGTGGGAGAGGAATAGTTCGTTTACCCTTGGTTTTCCTTCTTTCCTCAGTAAGCTGGCAGCTTCTTTCCAGAGCATGGAGGTCAGGAACTCTAACTTTGCTGCTTTCATTGACATCTTTACATCCAACACATACGTGATGGTGGTTATGTCAGACCCTTCTATACGTAAGTTGAAACCAAGATAAGTTGTTTGGGGCCAAAAAAAGCCAAAATGAGTCCAGGTTAAACTGTGTTTCTTTTGGAAAATGACAAAGTTTTAATCACAAAACTGATTACAGTTAAGAGAGAGAGAGGGATTGAGCAAGCTGCTGGTGTGAGCAGGGTGGGAAGGTGTGTGAGCAGTGCCTGACTGCAGAGGACGTGTGCTGGGACAGCTGAGTTCTTGCTGCTGTCACGGGGAGGATCATAGCTGTGTGGGGAACCACCAGAACAGATGTGACCTGATTTAGCAGGTCATGTCTAATAACCTATTTTGGGCTGTTCTGAGCTGGCAGTCCCGGTGATTTTTGGAGAGGAAGCAGAGATGGATCATGTTTGAGTTTTGAGCTGTCTCTTGGTGGACAAGACTCTAATTATAGCAGCATCTATTTATCCTAAAGGAGAAGCTGCAGGCAGCAGTGCCAGCCCATGCAGGCCCCAGGGGACCAGTTAACTGTTTACAGAGCTCCAGTTGGAACTCCTTCTGTTAGGATTTGAGGTGCTCAAGAGACATTGCCCAGGACACCTCATGCTGTGGTTGCCCTGCCCTCCTCCTCTGTTACTGAATTAGGGAAAGCTGTGTGAGCCCCGTGACTTAGTCACCAGCTGTGACACTGCTGTGCTGAGGAGCAGCAAATGCTCAGCTGTGGTGCCTTGTCCAGCTCTCCCTGTGAACACACTGTGTGGCTCTGCTTCACTCTGGCTCTTCCTCATGGTGTTCTGGGATTAGCAAACAGCCCACACCTTCCCACTCTGAATTTTGCCAACACTTTCCTACATTAAATTTTGCCCAGAACTTCCCGCTCTGAATTTTCCCCAACCTTCCCACCCTGGGAGCAGCAGGATGAATCAGGAGCTTGCAGACAGGGCCCGTGCCTTTAGGCAGCCCTGAGGATGTCGTTACATCACCCCTTTTAACTGGTTTTTTCTCCCTGTCCCTGTTCTGTCCCAGCTTCTGCGGCGACGCTGATCAACATCCGCAATGCCAGGAAACACTTTGAGAAGCTGGAGAGGGTGGATGGACCAAAGCACAGCCTGCTCATGCGCTGATCCCAGGCACAAGGGCTTTGGGGGGAGAAAAAATGAATTGGAACTACTTATTTTTAGGAGAATCTAACACTGTCGATGTCTTTGTTGGGCTTTGAAATGAGTGTGCTGCTTTGTTTTTTCTCCTTTTCACGTCGGACACTAGTGGCTTGGAGGATGTCTGGATACACTGTTGGACCTTCAGAGACTTCCCTGGCATGTGGGGATGGGGAGGAGGAAGGACAGGTGATGTGTACATGGGCTCGTGCCCCCCTGGGTGACATAGTGGCACATGGCAGAGCCCTTGTGGGTGTTTCGCTGCAGGGTGGTGATTTCAGTCACAGGAATGGGATATTTACTGTTTTCTTGGTTGGTTGCTAGAATTAAGTTTATAAATTTCTCCTTGTCTTCGGTCATGAAAATAAATTTTTGCTACCAGGGATTTCAGATCCTAGAGCTTTGGAAAGTGGGTTTGCTTTCTTCCAGAACCCAGGGCAGCTTTGGGAAGCAGATCTGTAGGAGCTGCATTTCTCCTTTCATGTCTTGGGGGGGATTTGAGTGAAAGCCATTCCAAGGTTTCATTGGGAATTGCTGCTTGCTCGGTCGGAACTGATGTTCGTCAGCATCTCTCTCCCTTTTTTCTCTCTTGCTGCAACAAATTACTATATAAAAAAGGGTGTGGTGATTCCAAGCCTGGCTGTGCCCTGTATCCCTGCCCACACAACCACTGGGAGGGGAAAACCGATGGGGCATGTCTGCTGGTGAGAACGAGGAGCCAAAGGGCATGTTGGGCTGGGAACATGCTCCATACAAAACCTCCCATCCACTCTCCATCCTCAGGGAATTAAACACCCTTGTCTCACACCACCCACCCAGCAGCTGCTGGTGCTGCCAGCCCGGAGGAGTTTTCAATGGGAATCATCCCCGTGGGAGAGGAGCTGCTACCAATCCAGGAGCTTTTGGAGAACTCGTGAATGGGCTGTGGATGCAGCAGAGGGTATCTGTCTGTGGTGCTGCAGGTGTGGAATACCTGGAGTGGGAACAGGAGGTCTGGGTGGAGCAAGGACCGGTGTGACTCCAGTTCCCCCCATGGAGCTGTCCCACCTCTGGGACCAGGCCAGGCCCTGATTCCCACATCCGAACCCTGCTCTCAGCACTGCTGAGCAAGAGGAGTCACCACTGCTGATCCGTGTGTTGGAGTCTCGGGAGCATCACCTCCAAGGGATAACCAGGAAGGGCTCTGCTTGCAGCTGTCGTGGCTTCAGGAGAGCAGGAGATGGCTCACGGCCGCAATTCCAGGCAGACTGAGGCACCTTCTGCTGGAAGCACGTTATCCTAGCAGGCAGCGGTTCCTGCTGGAGCCTAGGGAAGGAGAGTGAGAATGCTGCCTCGTTTCCATGGCAACAAGGAGTTGCCATCGGGCTTCCTTAGGTGATACATTTCGGCACGTGGAGTGGAAGTGGGATAACGTGAAGGGGCAAAATGTGCATTGGGGAAGCAGATGACAAATGCTGTGAAGGAGTGGTCCAGGAGCTGGTCAGGAGCCAAACCCCATGTGCATATTCCTGGCCTGGCTGGAGCCCCCCAGAGGCAGCGATACAGTGAGGGGTGCTGAAGTTCTGTTCTCTGACTGCAAATCTTTTCCTAAAGTACATTGATTTTGGTACATATTGAAGGAGAGGAACTTTAGATTTGCTATTGGGAAGAAGTTTTTTCCTATGTGGGTGGAGAGACACTGGCACAGGTTGCCCAGGGAGGTTGTCGCTGCCCCAGCCCTGGCAATATTTAAAGCCAGGTTGCATAAAAACTTGAGCAAACTGGTCTGGTGGGAGATGTCCCTGCCCGTGGCGGGGGGTTGGGGCTAGATGTTCTGTAAGGTCCATTCCATCCCCTTAGCATACTATGATTCTATGTTTTTATGATTTTGGGGACTTTTTGGGAATCAACCTTCTCCTTTTGCTCTAGCAAAGGTGCTGCTGGTACTGCTCTTTGCCCATGCTGTCAGGTGCTCACCTGTGACAAGGCAGGTGACCAAGACACCTGCCTTAGCTGCTCTGACAGCAGAGTGGTGTGTGGTGTTTGTCTCTCCCCAAAGCAAACCTTGGGGCCTTAGGAGCCCAGGTCAGTTGCTGCCAGAAGTGTGCAGCCATTCCACACTTCCACAGGATCCTTCCAGTGACCAGCTGGCATCACTGAGCAGACAGGTTTGGGGGATCAGGCTCAGTGACCTCATCCCATGTTCTAGAAGAATCTTCCCCCACTTTCTGGAAGACTCTTTCTCTTACTATCAGAAAAAAAATGCTGATGCCTACTCCAGATGCTGCTCCACGTGTTGCCCTTACAAGCAAGCCGAGCAAGAGACCTCATCAAGGTCTGTCTCTTTCTCAAAGAGACAGACCTTGATGAGGTTGCAGCGGTCTGTCCTTTCCTTCAGCACTTGACCTTGGAATTAGTAGAAAGTTGATGCCACCTGTCACTGAGATCCTGAATAAATCCCACCTTGGCCCTGTTCCTTTCCTCTGGAGCTGCTGTGGGGCCCAGGGTGAGGTCCCTGGGGCCACATGTGCTCTGGAGCTGGGCAGGTCTTGGTGCTACTCACAGGTCTTCTAACATTTCCTTCCTACGTGGAACAGAGCATGGATGGCTTGAGTAGGCTCAGCTTGAGGTTGAGCAAGTGACTCTTACCTCCATGATGAGCTGTGTTATGGTCAACTTGGCTTCTAGGGCTCTCTCATAGAGTACTTCCACTTCATTTTACCTCCTCAGCAGCACACAGTTGTCCCCAGGAGTTGAGAAGTGGCTGGGTGGGATGGACACAGGTCTGTGATGCCCACCAGCTGCTGGGCAGTGCTCTCCAGCTGGGAGCTAGCTCCTCCCATCACGTCCAGTGTGTGACATGGATTCTGCAGGTTGACACCAAGTTCTCTGGCAGTAGCCTTGCTCTGCTGAATTGTGGCTTGCAGACATTTCATGAGGAGCATCCACACCATCCCCAAAGGCCTGGAGTTCAGAAGATCCATGATCTCCAAGTCCAAGATCTTGTGTGACCTTCTGGGGAACAGACTTCAGCCACATGAGGCTTTTCCCCATATGTGAGATGGGGACAGGATAATTTTGGATAGTTATGACCATATGATGCTGTGTCTCACACAGTTGTAGCCTGGCCCCATCTCCATGCTCATCATCCTGCTCCAGACAGATCCAGGTAGAGGGCTGAGGGACTGGCCTTGCTGAGATGAGCATCTCCAAGGATGGAGTTTCCAATCCAAGAGCCTGTGTCATCATCCTCATGATTTTAAAATTACGAATAAAAATCCATGTATTGGAGCTTCCCCTATTTCCCCTTGTTTTGCCACCACCATCTCCACGAGGAGCCTGACTCTTGCCTGGTCCCTCCTGGTGAGCACTCCTGAGATGACCCAGCACCTCCTGGATGCAATCCAGTACCTCCATATCTGCTGTCTGTGGGCACAAGGTGGTCTCAGATTGCTGAAGGGAGAGCAACAGTCTCCTCCTCCCTCACCAGTGACCATGGGGATTCCTAATGCTCATCCCAACCCTTTGAACTAGGGAGTTCTTTCAATTTTCTGCCTCATCATCCATTTTTCCATACATTTCTCAAGAACATGGTGATGTTGAGGTTGCTCCAGTGTTCAGCGCATCAAGAACAAGGTGGTGTGTGTTTAGCTGGACAGGAAGAGGTTGAGATCTGCCCTTGGAGGGATGAACAGAACCTCCCTGAAGTGTGCGGTCAGCCCATGGCACCAAGAAGCTGTGGCTGGGATGGAGGAACCTGCTTCCTCAGCAGAGCAGTGGGAAGGGACCGTTTTCCATCAGAGCTACAGTGGTTTGTGGAAACATCTCAGTGCAGTTGGACCTGGAGATGCCAGCAGTGGTGGATGAGGCTCAGCAGAGAGAAGAAAGGCAGGATGGTGCACCGCCAACTTCTTGTGGGTTTGATTTTGTGGAATCAACGATCACATCTGTGGTTAACCTGGAGATAGAGGCTTGGAGCTGCTGCCCTCAGTTGCATGGCTGAATGGAAGAGGGATCTGGGGGTATTCCATGTCAGCTCCTTGCAGGGGGTGGCAGGCGAACAGCAAAACACCCAGATCTGGGGTGCTTGGATGAACAACACACATCACTGCTGCAGCCAAGCAGATGTTCTGCTCCATGAAGGACTTGAGGACTGCAGGTGGCCATCACCATTTGTATCACCTTGCTTGCTCTTCTGTGTGCTGGTTTGAAAAGCAAACCGGTGAGAGACTCTGAATCAGAAGTACAATTTAATATGAACAACACAACAAAACAACACAAATGCAACAGTACAAAAAAAAAGTAACCTGACAGAGTCAGAAAATAACCTGACAGAGTCAGAAAGTAACCTGACACCCTGTCAGTCAGGGTGTAGTAGTAGTC